CGTAGATCATGATGTTCTGTTAGAATCGCTGAAAACTGTTTTCCAAAATTCGCAGCGGGTAGTGTACAGCATCGATTTCTGTGGAGCCCAGTAGCTGTCAAAACTTTCACATTTTTACGAATAACTCGGAAATCGTAAATTTTTCAGGTAAAACGTTTGACACAAACTTAACTTAAATTTTGACGACAAATCTGAAAATGAATGAAAAAAGGGGCGGTTCCATTTAAAAAACCAAAGTTGGTAACTACCACACGTTTATGATACACCCCGTATATTGGAAAGTAATTTTAAAATGTGGACCTTTTAAACATGAAAAACTTTCGTAGGAACTATTTTCTTGTAAAGTTCATATTTACTGAGATATCGCATTTTGACGCACTAATGAGCAACCCTGTATAATTTCCAGACTTTCAGTAGCTTCGATCTATCAGCTACTATTTTTCCATTATCTACTGTGTATTGTGGTGCCTTGTTTCGTTATGTCAAAATGTTCTTAATTTCTTTGTACATGTCGTGATAGGCATACTTCCTTTCAAGTTCTTCGATTTGACTCTAATTGACCTGTGAATGTGACGATGTTTATCCGAATCGTTATTTTTGTATTTTCTGCTGGTATCCATTAGTTGCATAATTTCATCTGTTATCCATTCCTTCTTTTAAGTGTATGTTCTTTCCATATGTTCTTCGCATGTATTGTCTATGATCTGCTTAATTTTGTTCCACTTGTCTACTGGATCTTTCTCTGATGGTGATCTCTCTGATTCAGGATTTTGGTTTTAAGTGTATTCACAATTAAAGTTCTCGTCTCTAAGTTTGCTAATATCCTTCCGGTTGTTAGTAATTGTTAATTTTCTTCAACATTATTTTTATTGTACCTACTGAATTATGATTACGGGGGGTTTTTGTATGGTGATGTAATCTATTTGATTGCGCACTACATGTTCTGGAGAATCGGCTGAAGATCTTCAAGTATACAATTGTCTTGGTGGCGGTTGAAAGAAAGTGTTACATATAACCATCTTGCTTTCTCTGCAGAACTGCACCTGGAGGTCTCCTCTATGACTTCTAGCGCCAAGGCCGAACTTTCCCACTATGCCAATTTCTGATTCATTCTCAGCCTTCTCATTAAAATCGCTCTATCTCTCTATCGCTCTATCTCGTACCTCTTAATTGATTTCATCAGATTTTTTAGCTGGTCATAGAATTCTTCGATAAGTCCTTCGTCTTCATCGGCGGTTGGATCATATATGTATTTGTATCATGTTAATGTCCATAGGCACTGCGTGTATTTGTAAAATGAGCGTTGGGTATAAAGGCATGGTATAAAGGTTTTTACATATTTTTTGATCTCCCTCGTGACTATGATGCCCACTCCATTTCTGTGTTGGGGGCCTGTGTTACCTGAGTAATATCTTTCATGATCCTATATATTGCATTGACTTGTGTTTGGCCACGATGTTTGTCTAATTCCCATTATTTGGATATTAGGTCTCGTCAGTTCTTTGTTGATGTTGTGGAACTTTCCACTTTCGTACATAGGTTGTACGTTCCTAGATGAAATCTTTAGGCACCCGAGGATTCTTCGCACCTTCTGCCCATTGAAGGGATGCCGGGGACTAAGAGCGTTTTGTGATATTGTCTCTGCCATATTAACTATACTAGGGAGTTGTAATGAGGTGGTTTCCCCTGCCTTCCTCATGGCTCTGTAAGTGTCGATACAGTTGCTGTTGTTACAACCACGCCACTTAGATTCTCAACCACTCAAGATATAGTTTGTCCCTGCTTGAGGTCACTTTGAGCAACCAGCTGCCGTTGCTCAGTTTTCTCACCATATTTGGCTACCCTTACTTAGTTTTGCCTGCAGGTCGATGCGGATACCAGGCTCTGGCACGTGGAGCCATTAGTAAGAGCTGATTGCCTTGTGAGAACCAGTTGTTCGAACCCACCTCCAGTCTATGACTCGTACTCTACAACGCAGTCCATACACCCCCATGGAGATAATTTAACGAACTTTTTTGGAGATCAATGACGAGGACAGACTGCGATAAAATAATTTTGTTCATTTTTGCCAGTGCCACGCCTCTGTATTTATTATTTATTACAAATCATTTTCAAATTCCTTCTTTGTCTAGTGTTGTCTAGTCGAATTCTTTACATATCAGTCCGTATAAATAGAGACTTTTAAAATCCACTTGACCTTAATGCAATTTGGAAGTTTAACCCTAGTAAATCCCTTTAAAACGTTGAATTGTTTCAAGAGCACCAACATTTTCAAATTGCCAATACCGATCAATCGCGCTGATAGAGGCGACACCTTGGGGCAGCTTTATGCTCATTATGGGATCTTCACCAAGAAATAGAGGCTCGAAAGCAAATTGTTTTTCGTATTTAAAACCTGCTCACGTCCAACGTTCCGAACATGGGATTTTATGTTTTCCATCAACTAGCAATATCCGTTCGACGGGAAACGATACAACGGTACATTTCTGGCGCTGGCAGAGCCCGATATCCTTCGGAAGTTGGTAATGGCTTTAGTTGGTAAATACAATATAAAGTTATCCGCTGGTTGGGCAAATCTCCAAGCTCAAATGAAACGGATTAATTTATCTTTTGAGGTGGCCCTGATAACCGACAGCCTCAATTTTCGGAGAGAATCTACTCGAACGAACAGGGAAATAGAAGCGGGCTTGCCTCTAATTTATAAAAGCTTCAATTCCGGCACAAGTTCGACTTTGATGTAGATTGTCGATTAATTGTTGGCCGTCGACTTGGCGGACCTTATCGGGCGCAGTCGATTGCAATCAACAGATAAAACAATGATTTATATAGAAAATTGACACTGGAAAATATGCATTGAATCAGTTAATCGGCCTAAAGCAATTCGACCCAGTTGAACGGATTTTGTAGCCTAAATCCATTATCCGCTAAATTGATGCGAAATTATTTCTGGATTGGATCGGGACCGACCTCGGTTGACCGCTGATATGCAAATGGCGAGCGATATTTCGCCCAGTGAGTTTTAAAACCGTTATTAAAACGTGGGCATTTTACAGCTAGAATGCCATAGAAACACAATTCATTGGGATCCAATCAGTCGCACAGACGGCCCGGGTTTCCTTCGAAAAAGTTCCTGTAAAAATGCGATTTCATTGTGTGGAAAGCGCTGAAATTAAAATTGCCCAGACGAACCGCGGATTATTTCTAAGAAAGAGGCACTTTGCAATTGTGGACGCTTTTCCTAATTATGGACTGCTTTGTGATGCAATTTCCTGCTGGCATCAAAGTGCGAATGCATCACAGGGTGATTCAAAATAGGCGTCAATTGTTGGGATGTATTTAGGGGTGCCTTTTGTTTTAAAAATTCGCAATTGTGAAACCAAAGTCTGCAGGAATTTGGAAATTGTTTACCATTAGAAGATACCGGTCCGGAATTCTGACCTTTGGCAGCTTGTTAATTATGGGTCCCATATGAACGTTTTTCTTTAGCCCTCTCAATGCAAATTCGTGGGTTTCCAACTAAAGCAAGAAGCTATTTGAAATATGTTTTTCCTTTACAGGATATTGGAATCTAAAGATTCCGAATGGTTCAGATAAATTGCTCAAAATCATAGCACCTTTGTAAATGTGGGTGTCATATGGACGTTTTCACTCAGCCGGCCTCTTGTTTTTAAACATTTGTATATACGAAACCAACAAAAGAAGCAATTTAAGAATATCCGCATGATTGCATGACACTTAATACTCAAGATCATGAAAGTGTTATGAACAAAGCATAAAATCCTGACGTTTACCAGCTTGGAAGTTGCAGGTCTCATAATCAACGTTTTCGTATTCAGCAGCATTATTTTCTTTTTAATCGTTTGGACGAAACGGAAACGAGCCTGAAAATGTAATGATCTTTAGACGACGCCTGATCCTCAAGATGCTGCAAGTTTAATAACATTCGTCAAAAATCCTGACTTTTGTCAGCTTGATAATTGTGCCACTTTAAAAAATTGTGTCTTTCAACCTAAATAAAGAAGCGATTTAAAAATTTGACAGCTTTTAGCAAATGCTTGGTGTCTTCAAGATACTGAAAGTTTGATAAAAATTACCATAAGTCCAGCCTTTTGCCAGCATAGCAAATAAGGCTTTCATAATGAACGGTTTTTTTCAGCCGCACTCCTTTGGTTTTAAATTGTTTCTAGCAACTTAAACTAACTAGCGATTTGAAAATTGTACAAACGTTAGGAAAGGTTGATCCCCATGCTGATGCTGAAATTTTGGTAAAAATCATCGAAAATCCGCCCATTTTCCAGCTTAGCGAACATGGGCCTCGTAATGAGCGGTTTTATGCAGCCATATTTCCTTCTTTAAACCGCAAACCAAGGAACGATTTGAAAAATTGCCAATCGTGATTAAACTCTTAGGTCTCAAGACGCTGAAAGTTTGTTACAATTATCCTAAAATCCTGCATTTCGTCAGTTTGATAACTATAGGCTTCATAATGGACGTTTCTACTCAGCCGCACACCCTCCATTATAAATTTGTGTCTACCAAACTAAACTAAGAAGCGGGTTACAAGTTTTACGAGATTTAGAGAACGTGTGATTCTCAAGACCCTGAAAGTTTGATAAAAGTCACCAAAAATCTTGACTTTTGCCAAGTTGATGAATATGGGCCTCACAATGGATGTTTCTACTCGGCCGCATTCCTCTTTTAAACACTTGTATCTACCAAACTAAACTATCTACCAAACCATACATATATATCTACCAAACAAACTAAGCAGCGATTTGAAAATTTGTTGACCTTGATGAAATGCTGTGGTCTCAAGATGCTGAACGTCTGATAGATATTGCTGGAATCCTTATTTTTGCCAGCTAGATAATTGTAAGCTTCGTAGCGGATGTTTATACACAGCCGCATTCCCTCTATTAAAAATTTGGGTCCACTAAAGTAAACTTAGATGCGGATTAAGAATTTTACGAGCTTTAGAGGACGTGTGATTCTCAAGGCACTGAAAGTTTGATAAAAGTCACCAAAAATCTTGACTTTTGCCAAGTTGATGAATATGGGCCTCACAATTGATGTTTCTACTCGGCCGCGTTCCTCCTTTAAAGACTTGTATCTACCAAATTAAGCTAAGCAGCGATTTGAAAATTTGTCGACCTTGATGAAATGCTGTGGTCTCAAGATGCTGAACGTCTGATAGATATTGCTGGAATCCTTATTTTTGCCAGCTAGATAATTGTAAGCTTCGTAGCGGATGTTTATACACAGCCGCATTCCCTCTATTAAAAATTTGGGTCCACTAAAGTAAACTTAGATGCGGATTAAGAATTTTACGAGCTTTAGAGGACGTGTGATTCTCAA